AAAAATTAGAATCTAACAAACTACTCAAAAAAGAATTGATAGCAAAAATCAATCGATGATTCGAGAGCGTTAGTCGTGACCTTTAACTTTAGATAACGTAAGGCTAGCTTTAGACGACGTCAGAGAGAGATAACGAGCAAAGAGGTCGAGTTTTTTTAGGGCGTGGGTTCATCAGTAAACAAAATAACTTCGTTTTATTGTTTAGCGGACAAAACGACATCATTTTGTCAAAAATTTAAATTTTAAAAAAAAGTGATTAAATTGTGCGGTTCGTGAGATACGAATCGAATCGTATGAATCATACGATTTAGGCGCGATTCTCATATAAGATACGGATCGTTTTGTACGTGTATCGAGCCGAATCGTACGAATCAAATGATAAATGGTACGATTTTGATAACTATGGGTTGAAGTAAAGCCATCAACTTGGAGGATACAAAAACACATCGATCATGGCATCACGCAACGGTATTGGGTGACACGCACAAAATGTAAAATGGAATGCCCAAACAAATCATGAAAAAATCTAAGAAATAAATACAACAAAACCAATGAATCATATTTTTAAAATACATCATTTAACAAATTAAATATATTAAAAAACTCAAAAAAAAAAAAANTCAAGGTTGAAGCATAGTTGTTAAATCGCGATTCGTATCATGAATCGGAATGCTAAATTTGAAAATCGTGAATCGTAAAATTCGACACAAAATTTGAACAAAAATAAAAAACAATATTGCATATTTAAAATAGACAAAATATTGAATATTGAACATTATTATATTCTAAAAATAATCAATTGACATAATAACATCGTCTAAAGGAAAGACACTAGCCTTTTGTTTCTTTTTCATCTTTTGCTCAACTATTTTTAAATTTAACAACTTGAAAAAAAATTCATTAAAGAACCATGGTTATTCAAGAATCAAAATAGTGACACCCAGTATAAATTAAGTTACAAACATGAATGAAAAAAAGAACAAATAAAAAAATTGATTGAGAGAAAACATACTAGCTAACATATTGAAACAAAAAATTAGAATCTAACAAACTACTCAAAAAAGAATTGATAGCAAAAATCAATCGATGATTCGAGAGCGTTAGTCGTGACCTTTAACTTTAGATAACGTAAGGCTAGCTTTAGACGACGTCAGAGAGAGATAACGAGCAAAGAGGTCGAGTTTTTTTAGGGCGTGGGTTCATCAGTAAACAAAATAACTTCGTTTTATTGTTTAGCGGACAAAACGACATCATTTTGTCAAAAATTTAAATTTTAAAAAAAAGTGATTAAATTGTGCGGTTCGTGAGATACGAATCAAATCGTATGAATCATACGATTTAGGCGCGATTCTCATATAAGATACGGATCGTTTTGTACATGTATCGAGCCGAATCGTACGAATCAAATGATAAATGGTACGATTTTGATAACTATGGGTTGAAGTAAAGCCATCAACTTGGAGGATACAAAAACACATCGATCATGGCATCACGCAACGGTATTGGGTGACACGCACAAAATGTAAAATGGAATGCCCAAACAAATCATGAAAAAATCTAAGAAATAAATACAACAAAACCAATGAATCATATTTTTAAAATACATCATTTAACAAATTAAATATATTAAAAAACTCAAAAAAAAAAAAATATATATATATATATATAATGTTGGTCGACAGATTTCTAATTATTGATATCTATTGTGAATATGTATGTCACATTATACATTGGAAAAATGTTATAGATTAGTTAATGTAGTAAAACATATTAAATGAACCTTCATGAGATTAAATTGTCAATCACTGGCTTCTTAAGTCTGAAGGGCAAGAGAGGCTTTCACTGATTTTATATCATTTATTTAAAAACACTAAAACAAAACAACAATGAAAAACTCACGTGACCAAGTCTTTCTGAATTGTAATACCAGCGAGGAGGGGGCAATCACTTGCGGATTTCATAGTTGTGAGCCGTGATTGGAGCATAAGTCGCCCCTTGGTTTGCGATGGGAGCATGAATTGAAGAGTGGGACTCTGAACTGGTGCACGACTGCTTCAAAAACCAGAAAAAGAAAACAAAGAAGACGAATCTGAACTCCAGTACCTCTGTATTCACACAAGTGGCTTTAATTTTTGACAGGTTTGGTGTATGGTTGCTTTCAATTTGTTGTTCTTTATATAAGGCATATGATTCTTCCTGTGTGTTACAATAAAACTTGCTGGCTTTTTTTTTTTTTGGAATTTTTCATGGTTTTATCTAGAATGTCGTGATTCTGTATCCAGTCAAAACAGAGTCAAGTGAAACCCACGACTAATGTGTAAACGGTAGCTTCCTAGTCATGTCGTACTTGGCCGATAGTTTCAACACTGCTGGAAACATTTAGTTTCTGAAATTATCCCCCAATTAGCTTTTCTCTCGATAAGAAAAAGAATACCATTAATCTCTCTAATATTACACCTAGGAAGTTGAATTTTCAACTTATAAAATTACAACAGTAGCCAAGATTTATCCAATTTTCATCTACTTTGATCCAATGGTAAAACATTCATCCAAAAAAAATATCATTTTCACTAGACAACTTCTAATGTCAAACAACTCAATCAACAAAATCCCCAATGTCAAACAACCGACTAATCCACACCTACTTCTCTCCTCTCTCTCCCTTCTCTTTTTTTTTTTTGCTCTGTTCACTTTATTTCTAAGTTACATAATTAAATAAAAAAGAAAAATAAATTATTTTTTAAAATATAAACATTGCATCAATGCTCGATTTTTTGTATTACAGAATGTCTTCAGACACGGATTATTACTAGTAATTATCATAAACTAGTACATCATCTGAGCAAGGTAAACAAATTGTCCAACCTGATAACAAACGTTCAAACAATACACAAAACAACTTAGAAACTTTAAGGCCAATTCAGACGCCACATGATGTTGTCCAACTCGCAAAATGCAAATATGTGGAAAATTTTCATAATCCTTGAAAACTAAACCCAAAACAACCTAAAAAACATATCCAATCCCATAATCCTTGCACCAACTCACTTTTATCCTTAAAAAATCTTGAAAACAGGTATATTTAGAATGTTGCAAGAATAAATACTTGAACATCTCACAATAGACTATGATTTTGGAACCGGTAGTCTAACATTAGGATGTAGGCAGTATTCCTTTTAAACATTGATTACGAGTACATTCATTTTGACCATCATTAGTTGTGTGCCTTATTCCACACTTCTAGTGTGTTTACATATGGGCTCATCTCTGTTCAATTTATATTAAATGCCTCCCTACTTTGTGCAGACCCAATATTAAAAGCATACAAATTAACATCAGATGATTAATAAAACAGCACCACTATGGTTAGATCAATGTTTCCAAGTATCTCACTAGAAAAAACAAACAAGAAGGGCTACGTGGTCACTTATCATATGGTACAAATCCAAAATGGGAGGTTGGTTACCACTTCAGGTTGGTAACTCATGGGCTAGTTTGCATCTCCACCCACATAAAATGCCTCCAAAAGTAATTTTAAAAGAAGCATCAGTTTCACATCAACACTCTACCCCACCCCCACCCCAAAAAACACACAAAAAATAAAAAAGAAATAAGCAAGATAGTTTAGCTAGCACCGCATATGGGCTCATCTCTGTTCAATTTATATCAAACCAATTGACAGCAGCAAAAAAAAAAAGTGCAATTTTGGGAAGTAAACCAACCTGAAGTACTGTGTCCATTTTCAGCTGGCACCGCACCATTAGAAGTTAAATAGATTTTCACCCTGGCCACCCCAAACTGTACAGGAATCATAAAAAGAAACGGTTACTTTTGAGCCCCCAAGCATCCAAGGGAAGGAATTATAGGACTCACCTTTCCAGACAGCTCAGATTCTATATAGCTGATATTATCAATTGCACTGTGAAAGCTAAAGGTTTCTTGGTTTCCATAGCCAACTGAACCCTCTATTTCGATCCAACTGCTGGAAAAAGTTAACACACAGTTTGTATGATACATATCATGATACATGACATAATCAGGATTGAAAGCAACTGCATCTCGGTCACCCTGCAAATCACCAAGAAGGAAATTGTCACAATTCAAGGAAGAACTTTGATACAGACAGAGGTAGAAATGTCAAGGCTACTGATAAATACGTGCGTCAATGTTTCCACTTGAAAAAGCATATCAGTTGGCAAAAGGAAATGTATTTGGAAAATTGTATAGAGAGTTTTGAGGTCAATAGAACAGTGTCATTCAACGAATTCAAAATTCAAAAAACAAGACACAATGCCTATCCACATCAACAAAATACCCAAAAGCAGCAGAGTAACTGTGAACTTCTGATAATTCACTTAATTCTACATGGAAAGCCTCAGGAACTTCATTCTCTAAGCTGTGCCGTGTGATGTGAAACTTAAGCAGGTGGCAGGCCTTTCAAGGTATCATGCCACCAGTATCTGGCTGGGGCCACTTTGCAGAGGAAACCACAGTCTGCAGATAGGTTAGGGACTGGAAGCCATGGCCAAACCTGCCCACTGCCCTTATCCACAAGCACAATTCCATGATGTGGTGCAAAAATTGACCTATTTACTAGTTTACGCTTTAAATTCAATTATATATTGAATGATGAATTTGAAAGCTCATGCTCAGTTGATCATTGAACTATAAAATTGAAGCCTCAAATTTAGGTCGTTAAAACACTTTATCAAATTTTGTAGTGGTTTAATATGTAGTAATTGGTTGACCAATTGATCCAACGGGTCAATTTGAAACAGAAGTACATGATTAGCTCCAATCCAATGAACGAAGGAAACTATTTTATAAAAACAAAAAGGTTTTGATGGCAATAGTTAGAAACTCTGATCCACAAATGCTCACAGATATTTGTGCCCAATGATTTTTCTTATTCCATCTCGCAAAACATTTTCTACAAATAAAGTATATAGCACCTCAAATAACGGCAAAGGAATGTTCAATTTTCTGTGAAAAAGATACATTCTATCGATGACTATGCCAAACTGCAAAAAAGTGATCACCACTGATGAAGCAGATGCTGAGGGACAAAAAAACAGAATTGAAAAAAAAACGACAAAAGCTGGCAGACAGGGCAGAAAAAATGTGAATATGGAAGTCAAGCCCTTAGAAGTGGCCTTCAAACCAAGAAATCAATGATAAAAAGCAGCAACTTTTCCTCTCATTACTCGTAGCAGAAGACAGTAGCAACAATAGCATCACAGTCACCCACCAAAAAAAAAACCCTCATAAAGATGCAGGTTGCACCCTCTTACAAAATTCGACAGAGATGGAAATGATAAACCTAAAACAGTTTAAGGGGATGATAAATGAAAAAATAGAACCAAGAATAAGTGGTCAAAAATAAAATTAGTGCATATGCAGCATCTCTCATTTTTCAAATTAAATCCTGTATTGAATTTTATTTCTTTATGGTTGATGGTAAAAATACAATAAATCACTAAAGAGGGCATGCTAGAAGCAATTACCATTTCCCAATGGCCAGAGCCATGATCTGATGATGCTCCATCCAAAGAATCTGAAATAATGTGGCAAGTTAAAGTAAGGAGATCAATGCACGTCGCATTAAAATTCAACAAAAACGAAAAACAAGATGAAAAGGAATTGCAAACACTCAAAAGTTTACCATCATCTTCTGCATTATCAGATGAGGTTGACGGAGATCTCTCATTCTGGCTTCCATCAGCATCTGAGACCACACGAAATGAGTCATGCTGCACAGGTATAGGCCTATATGAGCATACCTACAACGTCATTTTCTGGAATTTTAATGCATTTCAGAAAAAACATAGGGATTCATGTACACTGGATGGAGACTCAAGAAGGTTGCAATTTAATTGGCTGTTGCCAGATGAAGATGCTCCAAGGATTGAACTGCCTCCAAGCCGAAAACATAAATTTTCAGGTTCGAGCTTATCTGTTCTGGATTCAGGGGATATTTTGGGACTTGAGCAACTTTCTTCAATAAGTTGCTTAGGACTACCAACATCAGTATGTGATCCAACATCAAACCCATACATTCTTTTAGGAGCTTCTCCGGCATCCAGCAGAGTATATGAAAGAGCACTGTCACAATTGTGATCACTGTTGACTCCATCAACATCCGCACATTGTACATTGCCAATTTCGTTCGACAGAACGTTGGTTCCCTGGGCAACTGAAAACAATACCAATAACAATCAAAAAGAGGTAGAATGACATTTATGAAACTAAAGATTAGGAAAGTGATTTAATATAACATTAATCATTGTTAACACAAAAGAGAAATGAAAAAAGGTTTTAAGCATTTCTTTGCAACCAGTTCATATATCACTATAAGGCATCACAGAATTTAAAAACCACAATATATATATATACACACAACACAAACACACAGCGTATACACATTTCCATATCAGCAACACATCATAGACATGCTGTCTAAATTGCCCTTGGTTGAGTAGGATATCAAGGATTCTAAATACAGGCATATTCGAAAAGACAAAAAATAGCTCAAGGCCTGAAACAGACAGCCTGCAAAATATTGCACCAAACTCTATTCATCCAGAATTTCATAAGACTATCAAAACCAATAAGACTATGGAAGGAAAACATAGAATGTTAGTTTGGAATGAAATAAACTTTCCTCTTACCTAACGACCTTTGAATCATGGTTTGAGATCGTGGTATTGGCTATCAACTAGCAGGGTACTAAGAAACATCGGTCGCAGTGTCCCTGTATCGGCCGGTCGATAAGCATAAAATGCTAGTTAGAAGGCCCAAAGAATTCTAAAAAATTGCGATCGAAGATAGTAAGTGGCATAACGAAGTAGTTTTTAGTACAAAGCCCAGTCCTCAACGAATCCGAATACTATTCGCACCAGAGAACAAAAGTGAAGAAGAAGAAGAAGAAGAAAAAGAAGAAGAGTGACAGTGAGAAAACCGTTCACAATGACTTCAATTCGCAAGTTTTCCTTCAATTTCTTTTCTTCTTCTTCTTCTTGGGTTTTAACTGATTTCTACGATTCAATCTGATTGAATCGGTTATGAGTTTATCCGAGTTCAAACCCGAGTTGCACCCATTCAACCGATTTGTCTCTGATTTAAGGCCCATTCAAGTGAAAATCACCGATTTGGCATATAGTGTATCGTGCTCGATTCAGTAGGGATCGAGTTCGATATCGGACTGTACTTTGATCCTGCTTTGAATGCTAGTCCTATTTGTAAGGAAAAAGAAATCCCACAACGAACCAGTTTACCAGGGAGTCAAATTAATAAACAGCACAAAAACCTCAACTGTCTGTTTGCTTAAACGAATGCAAAGTAAGAATACCGGAGATCTTAAACAGGGTAAATAGTAGCCAAAAGAATTTAGAGAAAATATACTACAACCGCTTTAGAATAAGGATGATTTCCACCATGTGACATCGATAATTTCCACCAGTTATAGATGTGTATGACCATCTCAGATTTCTATGTTAGCACTCATTAGCACATTTCCTGCCGCATAGAAACAATTGGCCAATGAAGGTGTGATGACCAATTGGACCAGCAAAGCTAAAATAGAATCCATTCACAACTTACTGGCTAATATGATACAACTAATTGACCAATAACAAAAGACCGAGTAATAAACTATTAAACTATCTTGGAGAGACACACAATTGGGCTGTATATTCATTAGTCGTCCCTTGTTCAGATAAACATAAAATAAGCTCTCAAGCAACAAACCATATTTGTGTTTCTTAGCGTTAACAACTTAACATTAAAGCCATCTCCAACACCGTCCTTCCCTGTACATGTTATCCATCCAACATAATACAACCCATAGGCCCAAAATTTTCCTTGAGGCAGGACAACCAAAATACGCAAAGTTCTACCGTACAAAGGAACAGAACGGCTCTAATGAATAACGCCACAAATTTATTCATAAATAAGTAGGATGGATTCATGTGGTCGATTCCTCTCCATGTCGTCCAATAGAGTTGAAGAACTATAAAAGATACTGGAAACAGAGCAACAAAATCTACTCTTTTCTACTTGTGTTGGAAAGGTAACAAGAATTTGAAGATTATAAAGAACATCCTCTGATATCCAACAAAACCAGTCCTAACTTTTCTCGAGTACAACAAAAACTGCAAAGGACATGTACTACAGGTGGCAGTAGGAAGAATGGGCAAAAGCCTATATAATGTCCTCTTATTTCCTCCTGCAAGAAGGGAAACGAACTTCTAGAGACTAAACAGAATCTCCCCTACATATCAACCTCCAGGAAACAAACCTTTTTAGGATGTATACGTGAATCATGTGTGCATAATCAGGACTTCTATTTCTACTTGAAATACACTTAATCAAAAAACCCAATAGGAACTAGTCTTGTGGATGAACAATCAGTCCATACACCAATACCATAAACATAATGAGTAACGAACCCAGATTCTATTATCTAATGAAGATGTGAGAAATCAAACGCATAAGAATTCAACATTCCCATTTTAGCTGCTATAAATCCTAGCAATATCGTAATACACACAAGGAACATCACTTCAACATGAAAACTTCGGTTCCACAGAGCAATGACCAAACAAACCCTAACTAAATTCAACGTATGCATTACAGTAGATCCATACACAAGCACAAGTAGCAGAAAACTTACCGGTTTCGAGGAATTTGAAGTTATCGATTGAATCAGGGTTTTGGAATTTGCTCGAATATCTATTAGCGTTCTTTTCCGAAATCTCGTCATCCCCTTTGAACTCGAAAACATCGAAACCTTTACAAGAACTCGTCATAGTAAGTATGCGTGAATATATAATAAAAAAAATACTCCAGAACAATTAAACAGATCAAAGACGAAAAGATTCAATGATTGAGATCATTGAGCGATCCAATTAGGGTTTCGAATGAGGGACCATCTGGTCGTACAGAAATTGGAGGAGGTGAATCAGGGTTTTAGAGAGAGAGAGAGAGAGGATATTACAGGTTTCGGACAGTGACTGGGATCGAAAGAGAAGGAATTTAAAGGGACGATTGAGAGAGAGAGGGAGATCGTGGCCTTGTTGTAGCTTTGGGGACGAAGAAAACCAATAATAATAAAGCACGCAAATTGTGTTTCGGAAAAATGCTTAGGGGGAAAATAAAGCTCCACGTGTGACAACTTAGTATGACATTTGCCACCTTAGCCCCTTGTACTGCAAACGTCAGACTATTTCCCGCACAAATTTTTTTTTTAAAAAAATATATATATATAGTAAATTTTATTTTTTAACTTATATTATATCATTTATCTTTAAATTTGAGACATTTTTCGTATGTGGGGCCTAAAGCTCGCGCTTTTATATTTATATTATAGAGTCAAGTCTGGTATTAGGCATACGATACTGTTTAAAAAATTAACATGTGATCATTTCTATCAAAAAAATTTGATGGTGAAAGTTATGCCACACCACTTGGGATGAAAAATTATGTTATAACTTTTGGTTAGCATAGTATTATTATTTTTCTTAATGTTAACATGGTGCAATGATTATATTCAATATGAGTTGAATTAATAATTAGTATTTATAGCATATTAAATATTTTTTTTTATGAGTATTAACACAAATACAATACGAGTTATAATAACAAGATATAAAAAAAACAACACGTGAATAATTAGACACGACACGAAACGAAACAAAACAAATTGACACCCCTTTTATGAATGTCATCATAAATACTTAAAAAAAGGGTAACACATATTGAGTTAGATAAAAAAAATAAGGTGGGGCTAGTTGTGACATGCATAGTTTTAAAAGTGGGGTCGGACGTCACTCTGAGAAAAAAAAATTCGGGTCAATTAATTATTGGACCCATTGTTGGGTTATTGGTCGAACTAATAATAGTAATAAATAGACTAAAAATTACAAACTAAAATGCTTAATAATCTATATATTAAATCAAACAAACCCCCCCCCCCC